AATCCAGAGCTGGTACAAATGACCAAACTTGTGCCAGTATTCTTCCTTGGTCAAAATTTCTGAGCACATGCAACTTAAGCTATGCATTTCGCCGTTACTGTCATTCCTTGGTAATGCGTACCAGCGAACGGCTGGAACTTGAAAAATACCAGAAGGCAAATTCGCGACTAGAGAAAACAAATGTGAAACCATGACCGCTTTGTATCGGCCTATGGTATAATTGGAATGATACTCATATTCTAACAGTGTGATTATAAGTCTTACCCCAAACTGCTGAACTCCCCGGATCGGCGTTTTGCTGTAATTCCAAACTTTTACCATGGAAACTGTCACGGGCTCAAAACATCAAACACCACATAAATCAAATTGATCTAAAAAACGAAGATCAGAAAACTTTTTAAAAGCTACGTGTAGAGTATACACACATGGTCTCAGAAAATCATCATTATAGGTATCGTATTTTCTTAACAAGTTTTTTTTCTTGTTGAGTATCGTTTCGGAATCCTTTACTAAAGCATTATTCAGTAAGCTGTCGTAAACATTTCTTAACTGCATTTATTTGGCTTTCGTTCGTTCCATAAATAGAAACTTGTGCCACGTTCTTTATAATGAGACGCAATAATAAAGCCAGTTTGCGACTTTGCCTCTCCGGATTTCACGCACCGAAGTCCGGTTACATCCATGTATCTACTTCGGGAGTTCTCATCTGCCCATTGCTCTTAAGTGTGTGACACTTAACAAATAATACAAACGGTCCTCACCAATCCCGGTAAGATAGGAGCTAACCACATGTGTCGTCCATCGTAAGTGTCATTCACACCGTCTATCAACTTGTCAGGAGTTCTTATATCATCTACTACTCCTGGTAAAACGTTCACACTGTGAGGATGTGCGGTTATGTTGTTTTCCGTAAGGCGTAGTCTGTAGCCATTTTCATCGTAAAACTCAAGGCCGTTAAGACCGACGTAGTAAGGATCACCCCAAGTGGAAAACAGTTGAAACTGAAATACGACTGGTAACAAGTGAAGGAGAAGTAATTCACAGGCAGTAATCTATTTTGTCCTCTTAATATTGAGACAAAATTGTGTTTTACCCGAAAAAAAGGTCCATGTTCACTAACTCGGTTATTACTGGGAAGGGGTAGCGAAGTGGCGTATGATATTAAAACGTTTCCGTTATTATAGCACTTTCAGAAAACTGAACAGTAAAAACTGTACTTAAGTAAGGAATAGTTGATTTACCTAATAGTTGAGCATTGAAACATTTCGAAGATGTTTCGGTTTGTGGAAGATAAGAGCAAATTTGTCTCAAATTTACCTGAACGAACTGGTTGAAACAAAACCGCGCAAAGCAAGACACTATTGGAAATCGTAATGTTACTGACAAAAAGTCTCCTGTCTTGAAGCTAATGATAAAGAGAAAATGCCATTATACTGACAAACAAGTTTTCTTAAGTTAGCGGAAAAAATTGTCAATCTATTGTTTTGAAATACTTATTGTTTCATCAGTCTATGTACTAGAAGGATAAAGCCACAAGGCATTAACGTTGGTTCATAGTCTGGCATAAACTTTTTCAAATTCACTCTGCTTTCAGATCTAAAACAGAATAAGTCAGAGTAAGATCACAAAATAGGAAACACATTGAACGTAAATAACAACGCTTCGAAATCAAGTAATGACTGTGTATCCCGCTTATCTTGCTTCGATAAGTTTTAGTTTGGGTTAAAAATTCGGTGCATATAATGAATAGTTATCGATCGTTCAAAAGAGCATGAGGTCACTGCAGATAAGCTTTGGCGTCGATAAGTTTCAGTTTGGGTGAAACTTTCGGTGCATATAACGAATAGTAATCGATCTTTCGAAAGAGTATGAGGTCACTGTAGATAAGCTTTGGCGTCGGTTGTTAATACACCCTTTAACTAAATAACATTTCTAAAGATAACAGTGGCATCATTTCAACTAAATCAGTAGGAATAACGAAGGCGAAAAACAGCCATTTACTGCGCACGATATGAAAACAGCTACAACAACAGACCATCAAACAGTAAACGTCGGAAACAAAAGACACTTAACAATGCATTACGCCTCGTTACTTTCACACCGTTAAAAAAGCAGATTATTTTACAGTGGCAAAGAAACTATAACTGCACCTGCGTTCACGTCCTTGGTCGAAGTACCATGCACTGCATATCCTCTTGTCGTTTTAATAAAGAAAACATCGTACCCATTATCGAAAAATTAAATGCATATTATCCGGCCCTGAAAAATAAATGTAATTAAAATATAAAGATGTTATACGAAAGAACGTCCATAAATATTGTGGAAGTGTGTTCCGTATTAGACAATCGGTTCACCTTTTCTCAAAAGAAATCCTTCAGGTGGTGAAATATTCCTATCATCGAGCTTAACGTGAACTTGTTTGGCCTGTGAACAATAACGGTGCAATAAAGTTACAAAATAGCAATCACAGACTTCATGAGATTAAATAAAAAACTTGGTATAGAGAGACACTTGACTTTCCACGTGGCTCCTATCATCCGTATTCCTATCTCAGCTTCATGTCTTTGCGCAAAGGTTGCTCCACTTGCTTTCCAGAGGTTGGAGTGCACTTAACAGATTTCATCGAATTTGTTTGTCAATGTAATACATACCCCTCTGAAGCAATCATCTGTGGACTTGTTGTAGTTCCAAACTCTGAATCCCACCAAAAAGGTGGTGTGTCCCAGGTCTATTGTCAGAAGATGACCCTGCCCATCAGTAAATGGTTCAGCCACATGTGTTCATCACTCATTGTCACGTTTGTTCCATTTATTAATCTGTTAGGGCAACAATCAAAACTTTAATCAAGACGACGGTACTGGAAAAACCAAGAAAATTCCGTCCCCAGATTTATACGAACTGGGATGCCATTAAGTACTCCACTGAGTTTTAAGTTGTGATACCGGAGCTATCCAGTAAAATAATTAAATAAAAGCAAAGGTAAAGCTTGTAACCAGTCAGTAAGGTGACACTTAACCGGCTTGTTTTCAAAGGCTTCAACAAATCGACCCGAATACTTACTTATTAAGAGTTCTATCGTCATCTTCATATTCAGGAAGGTCATTAAGATCTCTTGGAGACGCCTTGTGAAATAAATTAGGGAAAAAATCATTTGAACACCAATTTTTAGACACAAACACTTTGATATATGTACAATAGGAACTAATTCTCGCGTTCTTCTTTGTAGAAAAGAATCAAGTCATCCGGTGTTCTCAATCCAGCAAGGAAGTTTTGGGCATAAAAAGGACAAACCAATGACCCATCCAAATAAACATTTTCTCGAGTTTCCTATTCTTTTTGGAAACTAAAATTGAAACGTTTTACAGACTTCAGGACGATTGGTAAAAAAGGCGTCCTCTTATTCCTGCTAAATTCAATATTAGTTTTCATTTCAATACGTTAACAACCACTTTAGACTAGAAACAATATATCTATTCGTCAACGTATTGTTCGATTCAAGCCACCTTGAGTTATATGTTAAAGGAAGATCGTTTCCACTGCGACCTTAGTTTCCCTTACCAAATTACCACTGTTTGTTTATAAGTTGCGAGTGTAACCAAAATTAAAAGAATGAGTGCTCAGTCCTTTCCAGACGAATTCGTTATATCCATTCATATAACCGACGCCAACACTCAGCCTTTTCAATGACTCAAGTACTAAGAAGCTTGTTATATTCTTCTACTCCTTCAGTTCTTTCTCTTGCTTTACAATGCATCGTATCTTACCTTCAACATGATGTATGAAAGAAGAATGGATTCTTGATTAGGTCCCAGAAGTTCGATTCCAGTCTGAAGAACTAATCAAACTAAAACAGAAATAACACCAAGTGATTTTTGCGTTTAACTGACGTTTCAACGGGAAAGTGCTGGGTCGAGACACCCTGTCATGTCGATCTGTTTCGTCCCGTGTGTGTCTACAGAAGAACAGACTCCTAGCAGTTTAACTATACTTTAAAACATACCTCGACCCTCTAGGAAGTCAGCAGAACTGTCTGGTATATCTCCTGTTAATTCAGAAAATTAGAAGAGGAATCATTTCAAAGAAGCATGTTTTGGATTATCAAAGTTGTAGACAATCTATAAAAAGTTATGAGACGACTAACCTCCAGAAATAAGTTCTGAAGCGGGTTCTGATTTCTTTATATGCTGTTTGGCCGACGTAAGCGGTCGATCTCCACTTGTCTCTCAGAAACAGAGAAACACAGAGATTAATATAAACAGCCGTTTCAGTTCAAGGTGCATCAGCAAAGTAAGTAAGGTAGAGGACTTATATCTTATTTTCCAACGACAAATTTTTATACGGGGGGGGGATGAGGTGGTGAACATCATTATTTTTTTGCGACTGATAAAAAAAAAGATACAATATCTCTTCACCTAAAAAATTTCTTTAACTGTAAGCGCAGCCCTTTTTATATAATCAAGAAGCCACAAACGTGAAAATAATTATATCGTTCATACTTAAGGCTTCTTTCTGGAGGGATTTGTTTTTTTCCCGCAGACAGACGTGGGGAGCTCAACACATCGGACCACATGACAACAGATGTAATCAATAGTGCATGTCTAACCCCTTCCTCTGCCTGATCAGCAGTGGACGGCCGTTCAAAGTAACAACCCCTTAGTAATACGTCTTCGTCCTCCTCGTCTCCCTCATATGTCTGGTCACACTGAGCCATGGCTTCTAGTATGTCTTCGTCCATCGTGAACATAACTGTCTGTTAAAAGGCACAGAGAGAAATTACAGAACACAACTATCTGAAGTTTAGGAGGAGGGTAATACGTCTACTGAAAAGTAATATTTAGCATTTTGGTACCTCGTGTGATATTTTGGCTGAGAATATAATTTCACGAGTAAATTATAAGTGTAAGGAGAGGCATGTATGTTTCATAGGACTGTGATGAAAGGCTTCATGTTGGTAGCTCTCTCGGAGGAGACAGCGTCGTGAACTTGAAACTGTGGAATGCGTTACCATTTGACATAAGAAGTGCCAGCACAGTTAGTATTTTTAAAGCCGAGCTAAAAACTCACCTTTTCCGTCATGCATTGTTATCATAGTTGTTTTTATTATTGTGAGTTTACTTTTAATAGTAATTTTAGCTTTTTAAATTATTGTAAGTTTACTCTTAATTGTAATTTTAGCTTTTTAGCCTTTTTATTTCGTTTTTAATCTTGTCATGCGCATTTGAACATGTTTGGAAATTGCCCATCATAAATGGCCTATTATTATTATTATCATTGGTAACTCAAGAAAATGCTGGAAGAGTTACTTTATTCGAGCAACTCAACGCAACTGAAAAGCTTGCCTTCCCAAATGATTAGCTTTGCCAACAATGCTTTGGTAGTAAGATGGCTTTTTGTATTTTCCAATATCAAAATTATATAACCGTTGAAATAAAACCACTACAAGAAACTAAAAATTATAAAACTTTTAAATTAGTTGGTTTTTATACCAGCTAATTGTTTACTTACGTCGCCAAAGGTATAATCAGCTCCAAGGACATCACTAACTCTGCAGTTTAAAGGAACGCACTCACCGTCACAAAAAAAGACCATTTACTTCCAGAGGTGTAATCAATCGGGCACTTCTCGATCAATTGTCGTAAAATATAAATCAAAGTTATCTCAACGGCCAATCCGACAAAAGGTAAATATTAAAGGGAGCTTACAGGAACTAAAAGTAAACATGAACGAACTGTTTAAAACAGGGAAGTTTGTCAGTGACCAGATCGCGATTGGTTAATCTACGAATCTGAATTGCTGAGAGGGTAAGTGTTTTAAAACAAAAATTGCCTTGAAAGAGGAGATAGAAGGATGCAACAAACCATAAAGAACAAATCGGGGTCGTTGTAAATTAGTCACAGACAGCGTAATCATAGACAGATCTGTGTTTATGTCTTGTTTCTCCCTTCTGTCACACGAAATAGACAAAGCTGAACAAGTCTTCACTGTAAAACACACAAATAGTTGTCTAACACAAACGAAGAGCACACAATACCGTGCTATTTCTCCTTGATTATGTCAGATTATAACGTACTAGTAGACTGAATACTCTCCACTTCAGACGACTTTTGTCTGTGCCCAGCAACTCTAACAGTAATATCCGGGATCATGGATATTCTTGCCTACGAACAGGCGCTCATCATTGGCCAATCAGTGTGCACTTTTGTTTTGGCCGCGCGAGAAGTATGGCGCCCGGAGCAACGCAAGCTGGGGAGAGCTCTACAAGGGGTCTGGAACTTATAAAAGAGAGCTCAAGCAACCAACGTTTTGAGACGCAAACGGCAGCCGGAAGTGAAAAGTTCTCATTCTTGCTGTTTAATACACCTTTTTGGTCAGTACAGTTTGGTTTAACAACAGCCAGTTAATCACTAACTGACGATAATTGGTGCACAGAAACAGAGTAACATCTCGTTCGAGCAGACAAAATTTAGGAGCTTCATTTCACAGAGAGAAATATCAAAAGCGAATCAAATCAAAACCACGAAAGAAAAGACTCGTCGTACCTTACTCCTTTTGCTTTGTTTAAGCTTATCTTCTAAACAAAAAATAACGTTTAGTTTGAATTAAGTTGATATGATTATGCTACGCATACGCATTTACAGTCCCAACTCCCCAGCATTCTACAACGGCCACTATTCCCAGTCCCCAGGAGTTTTGGCGCCACCCACCTCAAACTTCCTGTTTCGGTCAACATGATCTCGAGACCGAAATTACGATTATCGTTATTTCTAAATTGGCACCAAATTTATGGATATAGTAATTTCGTGGCACTCTTTACCAATGCTCTTTACACGTGTTAAATAAAGAGAAGGACTCGGTTCCACTGTCTTACAACATTCAAGATGGCGGAGGAAAGGGGTAAATGTGCGTTCAGTTGTGATCAGCATGATCTCGACACCAAAATAACGATTACCGTTATTTCTAAATTGGCCCTGAAATAACGAATATCATAATTTCAGTGCATGTCTGAGACCTTCGGGCTCGAAGCTTGGGAACTAGTATTCAGGGAAAGATAAAATGGCGGCTTACGGCGGCGAAGGAAATCTCAGTAGTTTAATATTTAGCGTGAAAAGGCTTGGGTGTTGTGATCTGGTTCTCAAGTAAAAAAAAAATCACGGTCTGCAATGGCCCTACCACCTTTTGAACAACAAGAAAACATTGAAACGGTGGTAAAAAGCAGCAAGTTTCGAAGTCTAAACGAAAGATGGGTAAGCTGAGTTTCAGTCAAATATCATGACATTTGGGATGTAATTTCGATACCGAATAAATAGTTCTACATGGTTACACACGCATAGGATTCTGTTGTGTTCACGTGAAGGCCATTTCAGCCATTCCTGCCACTTGTAAGTGGTAGGAAATAAAAGATAT